TAACAATGGTGGTGTTGTTGGTCGTGGTGGAGGGTGGGGAAATGGTGCTGCTGATGTTGCTGATGTTGGTGGTGGGGATGGTGGTGGGGTTGGTTGTGGTGATAGTGATGGTGATGATGTTGGTGCTCCTCCTGCTGCTGCCGCGGGTGCTGATAATGGTGGTGCTGGTGGCAATGATGGTGGTGGTGGGTGGGGGAATGGTGCTGCTGATGCTGGTGGTGGGGGTGGGGGTGGTGGCTGAAGTGCTGGTGCTAGTGATGGTGATGCTCCTCCTGCTGCTGCCACGGGTGCTGATAATGGTGGTGCTGTGCTGGCGGCAGGTGGGGGAGTGGTGCTGCTGATGCTGGTGGTGGGGGTGGTTGGGGTGGTGAGAGGGGTGATGAGGAGGATAGAGGAAGAGTAGGAGGAGAAGCAGCAGCAGCAGAATAAGTGGGATGGGGTGAAAGTGATAAGGAGGGGGACGAAGGTGCTGGGTCGATGGGCAGTGGAGGAGGAAGGGGAGGAAAGGGAGGAGCGGGAGGAACGGGAGGTGGGGAAAAAGAGGGAGGCTGGTGGGGACCTGCTGATGCTAGTGGTGCTACTCGTGGTGGGTGGGGGACTGATGGTGATGACTAGGGATGAGCAAGGGGCGAACAAGAACGTGTTCGTGTTCGCCCCTGCACGAGTTCGGTTCGGCGAACACTTCTAGAAAAAACAGATGTTTGATGTTCGACATGGGGCAAATTGAAGCAGCGGCCCGAACACGAATGTGTTCGGGCGAAGCGAACCTCGAACACGTTTGTCACGAAAACTTTAAGCTAAAAAAAAAAACATGTTCGGTTCGCCTCGAACAACAGGTGTTCGTTTCTTTGCTCATCCCTAGTGATGACGGTGGTGGTGGTGGTTGGGATGGTAAGGATGGTGCTGCTGGTTGTGCTGATGCTGGTGGAAGTGGTTGGGGTGGTGGTGCTGGTGCTGCTACTGGTGGTGCTAGTCGTGCTGGCTGGGGGACTGCTGATGCTCATGCTGATCCAAGCAGGGGGGGTGGTGGGAATGGTGGTCCTGCTGCTGGTGATGCTGATGATGGTGGGAGCGGTTAGGGTGGTGCTAGCGGCGGCGGTGCTAGTCGTGGTGGGTGGGGGACTGCTGATGCTGATGCTCATGCTGATGCTGGTCCTGGTGCTGGTGGGGGTGAGAGTGGTTGGGGTGGTACGGGTGGTTCTGCTGCGGTTGATGGTGGTGATGGTCGGGGTGGTGCTGGTGCTGGTGATGGTGGTGGGGGTGGTTGGGGTGGTACGGGTGGTGCTGTTGCTGCAGGTGATAGTGGGGGTGTTTGGGGTGGTATGGGGGATGGTGCTGATGGTGATGCTGCCGCTGGTGCTGGCGGGAGTGGGGCGGGAGGGGCGTGGGGAGGAGGTGGTGGAGAGGGGGGTGGGGAGGAGGTGGGGGAGGGGGAGGAGGGTGGGGCGGGGGAGGATGGGGTAAGGAGAGAGGGCAGAGTGAGGGCGACGGGACTGGTGGGAACAAAAGAGATGGAGAGGACGGGTGGGGAGGGGGAGGGGGTGGTGGGGATGGTGGGGATGGGTGGGGAGGCGGAAGAGGAGGTGGGGATGGGTGGAGAGGCAGAGAGGAGACGAGGGCGGACAAGGGGGAAGGGGATGGGGGGGAAGAGGGGGGAGGGGGAGGGGTCGCGGGAGGGGACGGGGAAGGGGGAGGGGAAACGATTCGTGGGGAGATAGGGAGCAGGGGGACGGGGGAGGGGGAGGTGGAGGAGGGGGGAGGCGGATTGGGGGAAGGTGGATGAAGGGGAGGAGCGGGAGGCGGATGGGGGGAAGGTGGATGAAGGGGAGGAGCGGGAGGCGGATGGGGGGAAGTTGGGGGGCAAGAGGTAAGAAGAAGCTTTGGGGGAAGCGAAAGAGGCAGGGGCAGGGGCAGGGGGAGGGGAAGAGGAGAGGGAGAATCCCAGGAAGACAGGGGTGGAAGGAGAGGGGGGCGGGAGCAGAGGGAGCGGCAGGAGCGGCCTAAGAAATGGTCCCAATATGATCATCTGGGGGAGAATGGGCTTCCGAAAGTGGGCCATCCGTTGCTGTGGCCGGGAGAAGTGGTTGGGGGGTGGACAGGTGATGGGGCAGGGGAATCAGGAGCAGGCGACGGGGGAGAGGGGATGGGTAATGCGGGAAGGCGGACAGGAGAGGAGATGGCAGGGATTCGGGTTTACTGTAGCTCGGGTGTGGAGGTGAATGGAAGAAGGCATTTGACTCCCAGGGAGGAGGGGAGGGGGGGATGGGTAAAGTGGTTTTGAAGAGAGCACTGAGCCGCACCTGTAGAATGGGCAGCGGATACAACGACGGAGCCATGAGAATGCCGGTGACGTCAGCAGCGGTACTGTACTTGAGCTCCCACCACCCGTCCAGCCGATCCAATCCCGAGGTCAACGGAGTCCTGCCGAGTCTTTCCAAGTCAACGACTGCCTCCTCGATCTCGTTTCGTCGCTCCGAATCCGCCTTTGCGCCGCTCTCCATGCCGTCCACGTTCCACAGGAGCCGGGCCTGCCGACGCCGAACCTCACCCCGAGCCTCCTCGTCCACGTCCGGTCCGAGCCTGTCGGCTGCCACGGCAGCTGTAACGACTAGCCTCGGAACTGGACGGGTTGCTCTAGGGAGGGTTCGAGAGCTGACAACGCCATGTGTGGATGTACGAAGCTGACGTGGAAGCGACTGATAGGCGCATGCGGAGCGGTTCGTCGTGTATTGTCCATGCGATTCGTAGCAACGCGGTAACGACGAGATCCCTCTGTGTCGCAGCGTCGTTGCGGCGGTCGAGAGGGTGACGCAGCCGCAGCCCATGGGGCGTACTATCTAGTCGACTTGATCCTAGCAAAGAGTAGGAGCTGATTATTCGCGGCGTTCAATCTACGTGCGACGCGCGTCCGACTTCACAAGCGAACAGAGGGAACGAGGAACGAATTGAAGCCACGACACGTGGCTGACGCGTGTACGGTTTGTTGGTTCACAGCGGTGCGGGCTCCGTTGTTGTGATCCATGCTAGACGAACAAAATTTGTTCAACCATGTCCCTATCGGGGACAGACTGTGGCCTAATCATAACAATAAATTTTAGAGTAACTAGAAATGAAAGGCCCCCGCCCTGTGAAGGGTGGTACAGAAAACACGCGAATGGGTATTATAAATCAACATAACACGGTAAGGGTTTTTTTTACGTAAAGCCATGCAAATGGTAATAAGAAATAGGCATTGGGGGCGCCATCGGGCATCGTGCGGCGAAAACCGGTGGACATTCTACCCTACAAACACTCTACTCATCCAACATGTCCCTTCACTTATCTACGGCCACCATTCAGTGCTCGGAAAACGCTGATCACAAGATTTGATGTGCTCGCCGCCTCCTGAGGTGATTCTACGTGGCTGTATGCCCTTTGGCCTGCAGGATAGGGTCACCGCCCACCGCCTTTCAGCCCCTCATTAGGGCAAAATCCCCCGGCCAGCCCCACACCACGCCGCATGCATTGGAAACTTGTCACCAACTCCCACTCGACCCGCATTCACAAACCTCCTTGGTGGTTTGCTCACCAGCCTCAGATAATGCCTTCAGAAATCATGGCAGGACATGGTACGCCCCAGCCTTTCTCAAAAATGAACAGATGCCCCAAAGTAGGAGCTCGGCCAACCAGAATGCGGTCTCCGACAAATGATATCCTGAAGAGATAGGGGTGAATGGGGCTGCGGAATGGGCAGAAATACATGTTTGGTTTAGACAGCAGCAACCTGCACTTCTTCCGACAATTTTTTTGAGACGTCTCAAAAGACAAATGTTATCCTGAAGCGCTAAGGGTGAATGGAGCTGAGGTATGGCCAAAACAAGGGCAAAATGCATGCACTGAGGGAGTGGATTGAAGACAATGCATCCATGCATGGGTGAGAAGGGGGGGGGGGGGGGAGGGAGGAGGAGGAGGAGGAAGAGGAGGAGGAGGAGGAGGAGGAAGCGACATGGAAACAAGCAAAATGGTAAAGGCTGCAAATAAAATGAGTCATTGCACCTTGTCCAGGAGGAAATAGGATTGTCGCGAATAAAGGAGTCACAAGGCAAACAGCTCTGCAACCAGTACGAAAAGTACTTGGCCTGCAACACACACAGAGTGCACATACAAGCACAGTTCAAACGAAGTTCCGTAGCAGTCCACAAGCGAAACGGAACGCAAGATATGCAATGCCTGCAAATAAAGCCAGTTTAATTGCTGGCCAACTACTTAACTGTCACTCTAACCGACCTAACGTCCCACGTCTTGCAAAATGGGCTTATTACAGCAGAGAGCGGCACAAGCCTGCTCACAGACTCAAGATCCTATGCCTCGTTACACGCTTGTACGAAGCACATGTAGCGACAACTGAGAGTGTGTACACATGTATGTATGATTGCTTGCACGCACGCACGCCTCACCGTCATCCCCAGCTCCTCGCACATACAACCACTCAAAAGGCATGCATGCATGTCTCACCCACAGCCCCAGCTCCGCGCGCATATGACCATCCGGCGCCAGGAAAGCAGCCATCTGCTCGTTGAGCCTCACGCCAGACCTCGCGTCCCGCTCAAACCGCAATTCAAAATTTGCGCCGTCACGGCGCGCACCAAACTCTGCTGTCACTGTCATCAGCCCAGTGGAGGGAGTGGTGAGGAGAGGGGGATACTGGGAGGGGGGGAGAGGAAGAATGGGAGAAGGTGGAGGACGGAGGGCAGGGGGAGAGAGAGCAGGTCACGAATGCGAGACCGTGGGAAGGAGAAGAAAGTAGACGAGAATCCAACATTTTTTTTGCCATTATTTCTTATGACTCGCTGGCAACATGTAAGAATGCGCGTAACCCGTTGCCATACCTGTATGTACCAAACCGTGCACATACCCCCATGCCATACCATCATGGCCGGCAGATTCCACCGAACCACATTCTCCACTGTGCCTCCGTCGGTTCGCCCGCCACAGTGGTATCGCTGAAAGATACGGGCCACCTGGACCCAGGGGGGCGGGGTGGGAAGGTGGGTTGAGAGGTGGGGGGAGAGGTGGGGGGAGAGGTGGGGGGAGTGAGGGGAAAAAGATGTAGCGCTGGAAAATTCGGCCCACCTGGACCGAGGAAAAGACAGATGATGTAGGGGGAAAAGGGGGGAACGAGAGGGGACAGGGAGGAGGAGGGGAGAGGGGGGGAGTAGGGGGGGAGGGTACAGTGCTGGAAGATACGCCCCTCGTGGACACTGACAGGGGGGATGAAGAGGCTTAAGCTGGGAAGAGTGCATCCTTGGATTATGAGCAGGAGGACACATCCCCCGACAGAGTAACCAGAACACGTAACTCATTCGGGAATATGAGTTGGCTGATTGGTTTTGGAGAATTCTCCAAACCAACTCGTAACCCTGACATCCCTCTCTCTCGGAGCCAGGTGTAGGCAGCAGGAAGGGAAAGCGGAGAGGAGGGCAAGTGAGCAAGTAACAGAAGACCATGCGACATTGGATAATGGATTCGAGACGTCCCAGAGCAGCATTGGGATTACGGCTATCCGGAACGGGAGACAGCGGAGCCTCTTTTCCGTTCAGTCAACACATGAGCCTCTCCCAGCGACTCACGTGCAATTATTGAGTCAATTAGAGAGCAAAGTAACGGAGGAGCAGAGAGCTGCGAGACGCACCTTGAGATAATATTCAACCTCCTCGCCCGGGTCCGTCATGATAAAATCTGTCAAGTAAGGAGTGGTGCTGTACTTGAGCTCCCACCACCCATCCAGCCGATTCAGCCCCTCAGTCAACGTCGTTTCGCCGTATCGTTTGCTGAATCGTTCCAAATCAGCGACCTTCTTCTCAATCTCTCTGCGCGTCTTCGGATCCGCCTTCGCGCCCCTCTCCGTGCCGTCCGTGCACTGAGACACCGAATCCTCTCGCATCCAAATCAAATCCTTAGGCACCTTGTGCAGGTACCGGCCGGCCCTGTCGGCTGTCACGGCTGTTGTCACGAATAGTCTCGGAACCGCCGGAAGGGTTGCTGTTGGGAGCGTTCGAGAGCTGACGACGCCATGTCTGAAGGGTAGGAGCTGATGTGGAGGCGACTGATTGGTGCACGACGAGGAGCTGGTCGCGTATTCTGCAAGCGAAGCATACCAACGCGATGGCGGCGAGATGGTTCTATGTCGCAACGTCGTCACAGCGGTCGTTAGAGTTACCGGACCCCCTGGCATTAGGAGGCGAGCTGCTAAATTTGTGAAGCGAAAAGCACGTGCGACCTGCATGGTGTTCCACCAGAGACTGGCGTGAATCAGCAGTGGGAAAAGAGAAACGAGGCGACGGTAAATGGCTGAGGCATTGAATAGGGACGCTACCTATGTCGACTGAATACACCGTCGCCTAACCCTAGATTACGGTGAGATCGAGTATTTGCTACCTCGACTTTCTCTCTCATAACAAAACATCTCCCAGATTCGGAGGAAAGACAACTTCGGATCCCGTGCGAGTAGCCTTCGAATTCCCCGCACCCCGCGTTGTACCCAACCTCGAATTCCGACGTGCCAAGCCCGTCAAATTCAATTTGCATTTCTTAGCTGTTACCATCCCAACGTTCGCAAAACACCGAATCTGCTCGCGGAATGAGCAGTGACGGGAACTTTGTTGAGTTGTAACCTGATTTGCAAGTCCTTGTGTCGTTCTCATTTCACCCCACGCACATGTACTTTGAGCGAGATACAATGCCAGTGCCATTGCTCCTTCCTCACCCGTTACGGATTTGCAATCGTATTCGCACTCCGGAAGCGTATTTCGCTCACGTGACGACATTTTTGCGTAGCTGAATTTTCGCACTACGCGCACACAAGGTTGAACGACCCGAATTTTGGTTACACTCCAATTTTGAAACACAGCAGGAGTCACGAGCAGAACCATTCAGCACCTTAGTGTCACTCTATTGATGGCGACATTCAGCCTTCGAACCCGCGTCGTAGTTAGTGCCAGTCATATGGCCGCACTCTATTTATCTTCTCGTTTCAAAACCATCTTCTTTTTTTTTTTTTTTTTTTTGGTAATTGATATATACACCAAGTACAGCAGATGTATACAGCAATAACAGTCGTAACTGTGCGTGAGAGGCAGCTACGTGGCTACCCCAGATTGACAACTATGGTGGTCTGTGATTGTTACTCGGCAGCTGCCAGATGGCAACGAACGCACTGTTCCACTTCCACTTCTTGCTGCTACTGTCCCTCAGTTTATCTACCAATCTTATCTCCTCCTCTCTTGCGCGCCGAAACGATCCCTTCTTGTCCGTAGCCACCCGCCTCCTTCGTACATCCTCCTTTGCCCGCATGTACACCCTTGCATGTTGCCGGAAAGCCAGCTCAATCCTCCTCAACACCCGTTTCGTCCTGAATCTCCGCCCTCTGAAAGCAGCTTGACAGCGCTCCAACCACACCTGGTGGATTGTGATGGCAATTATTGTCGCCTCTGGAAACGCTGAGCTGGAGCATGGCTTCTGGAAGAGAAGGTCCCCTAGCGACGAAATCGTCCTCGAGCTGTTGATCATACGAAGAGTCCGTTTGAGTGCTGTAATCACCGTCTGGATTTTGGGGCAGCCGTAAAGGCAATGTTCCAAAGTCTCCTCTCCCCCACAGTGCGGACATTTCGGTTGTCCACTTAGAAATGACAGTCGCTCCCCCACCTGTAGGTTCAGGTTATGCACCCTTAGCAAAACATCCCTTGGCCTGCTTGGAGTAGCCAGAGACTCTCTGACCGAGATTGCCCTTTTCCAATCAATCCTCCCGTTCCACCTGCCCGACCACTGTTGCTGCTTCACTGATGCCTTCTGCCCTTTCTTCCACAGCTTTTTCAGCTGCCTCATCGGCACCACCTTCCCCTTCTCAAAGATCGGTAGAAGCGTGAAATCTCTTCCAGGCGGGATGTATCTCTTGCGATGAGAGCCAGCCGTGCTAGGGTTTGATTGCTCTCTGTAGGAACCGTCTAGCAGCAGAGTCCGCCATGTCTCAGGCGCCGCATCGAAAGCCTTCAGCGCCAACCTAGCTGGTCCTTTCCCCCCCCAGCTCCCTCTCCAGTGACTCCATCCCTCTTAGTGTGGGAATTCCTTCTTTGTCATAGTTGATCAAGTGTCCCAGCCTCATCTCCCACAAAGGTTTCGCGTCCTTCTGCCCTCCAACCGGTGTGGACCCCCTGAGGAGAATACGCTTGTTAAACACTATCCGCTCTCCCTCCGTAGCCTCCCGAGTAACAATCTCCGGCAACTCCCCCAGCGGCGACTTCATAAAGTTTTCACACGCAATTTTCCACCGAGCACTTCGTCCTTCCCATCGCCGCAGTAGTTTATCATGTGCGAAGAAAGACTCAATGCCCATAGGAAGCTCAGCCGCCCACATCATGATCTCTTTCTTGATCACGTTCTTCTCCGTGATCAGCAGCCCCGCCCTCCTTGCCGAGAGACAAGCAAGGATCATCTCCGGGTCACATACTCCAACTCCCCCATCCTCCCTTGACGTGTGTAGGAGATCCTTACTCCACAACCGGAACACCCTGTCAGCCGTTGCCTTGTTCCCGGATACAAAGTTCTGGAACGTCTTGGAGAGCGCATTCCAGGTTACTGGCGGCGGCGGATATACTTGCGCCTGGAACGCCACCACCGACATAGAGTAGCCGTTCACCACCGCCGCTCTCGCCTTCGTCGGAAGATAAAATTTCTCCCATGTTTTAAGTTTTCCGACCACGCTTGCCCCTGCCTTCTCCCATGTTGGCTGACAAGTTCCTGCCGGTGTTACCCAATTCCCCAGCAGTCTCTCTGCCTCATCCGCTCCCGCCCATCGGAAACTCTGTGGTCTGCATGAGTGCCTGTGCAGGTTATCGCCCAGCGGCAGGATGACTGACTTTTCCACATTCGTCTCCAGCCCCGAGGTAAGCTTAAACTTCTCCAGTACCTTCTCCGCCTTAATGATTTGCTCCTTCCCCTCCAGAATCAGTGTGGTGTCGTCATACCCGATGTACGAGAGACGCTCATCCGCCTTGCTGAGCCCCAACTTTTTCCGCCACACCTCTTGCGCCAACGGTTCTACTGCGCAGAGGAACAGGTATGGAGCAAGCGGGCATCCCTGCCTTACCCCAGATAGTTCTTCCACTCCATCTCCGAACCATCCGTTTATTAACAGCCGAGTCTGTGTTCCCTTGTGCAGTCCTTCGACCCAGCCAACCAGCCGCTCCGGGAAACCCATCTCCCTCAAGATCTTGAAGGTGTAGTCCCTCGACACCGAATCATATGCCTTCTTGAAGTCAACGAGTAACAGAAACCAGTCCTTATTCTTGTTCCGAGCCGCATCAATCACATCGGCGATCAGTCCCACTGCGTCGGTGAGTCTTCTCCCCGGCAGGAAGCCGTACTGCTCCTCTGAAATCACCTTTCCCAGCACCTTCTTCATTCTGTCAGCAATCACCCTCGCCAGCACTTTGTAGGTGAAGTTTAGAAGAGTTATCAGTCTATAATTATTCAACTGATCCTTGTCCCCCTTCTTGTGCAGGAGTATCGTAACGGCTTCTTTGACATCGGTGGAGAGTGAAGCAGAAGTCGCGAAGTCCTTCGCCATTGCCTTAAACCCTTTACCCAACAGGTCCCAGTGCGCTTCAAATAGTTCTTTCGGCAACCCATCCTTTCCAGGCGACTTGTTAGCCGCCATCGCTCCAAAAGCTGCCTTCACCTCTTCTTCTGTCCAGTCAGCTGCCATCTCCTCTGCCTCCCACGTCTCCAGCTTTTTCCCTTTTATCGGCTTCCAGTTCTCCTTGAGACGGCATCTGTCTTCTCCGAAAATACCCGCGAAGAAAGCCGATGCTGCCTCCAAGATCCCTTTAGAGTCCGAGACTGCGCCGCTCGCTGTCTGTAACTCCGCGATTTGCGTGCTTTCCTTCCTCGCCTTCACCATTGCTGACAGATGCGGGGACGGCATTTCACCCGTAGTCCCGTCATCAGCTGCACCCGGTCCTTC